GTAGGAGACGCGTTATGCAAATGTAAGCACAAGCAGAAGCATTTCTTCTCTTGATATTACCTTGGAGAAAGTAGCTCATGTAAGCGTCCCTGTAGCAATGACAGGAAGCTCTGATGATGATAAAAGGGAGCCAGCTTCCAAACTTCATCAATAATGCATGCAGAATTTGTTTGTGTGTACGCTGACTTGTTTTTGTGTTCCAGCGTGTGTAATACTAGTAATGTTTTTAAAAATAATACTACATTTATTAAAATGGTGCCTGAGTCAAATGCTTACATTTTGCTTATCATACCTTGCTTGACACCTAACAAAGCAAAGACCACATAGAGCATATTAACTAAGTCCTTAATTTGCAACATACAATGCAAACTGTCAACATGATACTGTATTTGTAAATCTTACAGTGTATATCTGTTTGTTATTGACTTTGACAAATATACCATAATTCATCCATACATTATCTTGCAGAGTGTTGCGGGGGGCTAGAGCTGATCCCAGCAGATATTGGGTGAGGGGCGGGCTGACACATAGAGACAGATGACCACTCAGTTTAGAGTCACCAGTTAACCTAACCTGTATGTGTTTAGACTGTGGGAGGAAGACAGAGTCCCCAGAGAAAACCCACGCCAGCACAGGAGAGCACACAGAGAAAGGACCCAGTCCGCTGCAAGGTTCGAACGGATAATAGCGCAACAGGCTATAAACTTTTATAAAACCTAGTCGCTTCTCAAAATCACATCAACACAAAGCTAACTGTAAAGGAAAGACAGAGGGGCGATAGAAAAAGAGGGTTGAGCAACTTGTTTCCATTAGCTGCTTTAATGCTCTCAGCTCCGGTGCTGAAAGCTAGCAAAGTCAGCTAAGTGACACCTGAACCAGATGCTGGCATCACTATCTCTCACTCTCTGTCCACACAGAACACTTGTTCCATAATGCGCTAAGATTTCATTGCTGAACCATGACCAGGATGCACACTTTGTGTGTGTGGGCATCCGATGTTTACACATGACAAATGAAAAACAAATACATTAAAACTTGAGTATCTTCTGATGTGGGTCACAGTCCTAGTTAGTAGCTTC